AAAGGAGTAAACTACACATTATCAGGATTTAATATTGGGAGTCATAGTATTTAGTTATGTTGTGAACCTGCAAATTAGCTTTCAATGCTACAGAACGGCGCGCATGCACAGTTCTGTTTCTTTACATAGAATACTCCGTTCGTACGTTGATGGTCATGCAGGAAAAACAGCATTAAATACGGTTTGTTAGTACCAAGCGTAAAGGATAATATGGTCAGTTCGGCTGACTGGTCGTCCGCAGCAGTTGATGGATTAAAGTAAGTAAGTCAGTAAACCCTCCTGTGCTAACTGCTGCGGACGACGAATGAAATTCACGAAACTCTACCACACACCTACTTTGAAGAAGGCACTTAGGACACAAGCCGAGACGTTGATATTTGTCAATAACCGGATTTGCCGTATTATTCTTTGCGTTGTGTTTAAGCAAGCCGTGTTTTATGCTATTTTTTAATTCTGTTACATTTTGCTTTGTTGAGCTGCGATGTTGCGCGTAATGCCTGTGTATGACATGATTACGTGATAATCTCTGAAATTATTTAGCTTGGCCATTAAAGCAAAATTTATACTAACTGTCTTCTTTGCTGCTGTACGCTCAAAAGCGCCATTTGCTGTTGTAAATCATGTAGTTGTTATGCTAACGGATAAATTAAGTAGGGTTTACGGTCGCCTTCGATTCTGTACAATCAGTACAATTTTAACGCAATTTGATACACCGTCTGATTCTGTGGTTAGCCATATAAAAACTGCTAGAAAAAAAGCAGTTCCAAGTAAAGTCTTTTCTTGTCTTTCGGGTGTCTTCCTACATTTCTCTGTGGCACATCAACGGACGAAAGTTTTAACGTCTTTCATGCTGTAAATCACGAATAATGTGACCGGTTCCAGTTGTCAGCTGACGGAGCAGTATTTCTACGATTTGAAGAAGTTGTTTGCTAGAAGCTTTCGTATTTCTTATATCACAGAGCAGCCGTTATTTTGACATGTGCGTGCCGGTTCGCTTCATTTCACTGTGACACTGAAATTGAGCCAGTGAATGCTACTGGCATGCCACTGAAAATCTCATCCGTTGTACCACTGTATTGTGTAACAACTTGTATGAAATTCTGTGTAAACTACCGAATCTTTAATGAAAATCCGAGAATGCTGAAATCCGTGACACCATACTGTCATCATCTTCCATGACCGCTTCTCCTTTCGGATTGCGGAGGCAGACATCACACAGTGCTTCAAACGTTCCGGTCCTGTGCCAGAATCTGAGCCTCTGCAGAAGACAACCGGAGTCTGGAGCAGACTCCTATATATTTGTACCAGGTTAATCTTGACTGTCTTCTGGGGCTCCTGTCGGTCGGCTAGGCAAGAAAGAGTTGCTTAGCCTTCCTTTTCGGAGGCATTCGCAACACATGCCCAAGCCATCGCAGCTGTGACTTCTCAGTCTGGAGAAGCAAAGGCTGCATTCCAAGGCTCTTCCGGTTGTCACTATTCCGGACCATGTCGAGACGCGTAAGGCCATCAACTCGTCTAAGAAAGCCCATTTCAGCAGCTTGTACCCTGGTTCGAAGTTTTTCAGTGATGGTCCACGATTCATGACCGTAGGTAAGTATTGGGATAAAGATCGACTTGAACGTCGAAGGCTTAATCATCAGACTCAGCTTTGCTTTAGCCATATAGGTTTGGGCTGGTTCACGCAAATCCAATCCGCCGTTCGATCCCTTCTTCCAATTTTCCATCACCAGTAAACACGATCATAAGTTACTTGAAGTTCTCCACCGGCTGCATTGTTTTTCCGTTTTTCTGAAGAGAGCAAGTGGCACGAGAACGAGAGAACACTAAACCTTTCATTTTAGATGTGTTCACACGCATGTCGGTCACGTAGCAGTTGGTTTCGAGTCTCTCTAGGGAGCACTGAAGATCAGTTTCAGAAGATGCCAATAAAACAAGGTCGTCTGCAAACAGCAACCTTCTCGTCTTCGTATCTCCTACACCGATACACTCATCACCTTGGCTGCTCCTGACTTTTCTATCCATGTACAACACAAACAAGATAGGGGACAGGACACAGCCTTGGTGGAGACCAGTGCCAACGTTGAAGGGTTTCAGCTTAACACCATTTACTCTGACGCAGCACCTACTATCAGAATACAGTGAGTGGATGTCCCGTAGCAGCTGGCCGTCTATTCAATTTGTTCGCAGACATGCCCATATATTGTTGCGCGGGATCCGGTCATAAGCTTTCCTTAGGTTCCCAAAGCATGTCTAAGCCGGGTGAACAGAATTCCACGATTTCTCAACAATCTGGCAAAAAGCGAATTTCACGTCAGAGATCTAATGCCACACTGAACTTGTGTTGTTGAAGTTAGTTATTTCGCCACACCTTCATTCTTGCACCTATTCGTAGACTTTTTCTAGGAGGCTCAATAAAATAATGCCCCGATAATTTAGCGCTCCTATGGTCTCCCTGCTAAACTAGCAGTATGCTCGTAATCCCATAAGATTGAGTTTTATTTTTCTTTGCATATGCCTACCGATAATGGCATATTTGCACGTGTCCGAATGGGTTCTTGTTCGGCCCCGTCAAGTGACACGGTTTGGCATTCAGGCATTACATGTGCTCAAATACCATGAAGTCGTGGCCTTCTGAAATGGTCCCCTAGACTACTAGAAGCAAGGGGACGGTGCTTACGCCGCTTCAATCCGGTATCGAAAACCACATAGAATTATATGCCTTAGCAGCGGTATCAAAAACTAGCAGTATGTTAGTAAATCCATAAGGTTTTATTTTTCTATGTGTGTTATGTATATGGGCAACCGTCGAACGCTGCGAAATCAAGTGGGTTGGCCTGCGGCCTTTAGGTCAGAAAAGAACTTCCTGGCGGACACGAGAAGTACAACTGACAGTTAAAGAGAAGAAGGCTGCATTCAAGAAATGGCTTTGAAGCAGAGTCTTCGACTCATGCGTTACGTAGATGCGTGCAATGCTGCAGCGAAAGCCGAAGTTGATTCCTGACAGAAGTTCGGTGCTGTGTTGGAGTCGAATTTCTAGACGGCAAACAAAGTATTCTGGCAGACCATCTGCCGGCCCGAGGTGAAAGGAAGGGCTGTCTAAGAGTCTTGATGGACAAGTATAGACACCCTTTCACAAA